GTATTTCTGTTGAGTTTTTCCCCTTACCATTATATAATGACACTCTTTGTCTTTCTTTACCTTTGTCGGCTTAAAGTCAATTTTATCTGATATGAGAATGGGTATACCTGCTCTCTTTTGATTTCCATTTGCATGGAATATTTTTTTCCACCCTTTCACATTGAGTCTATGTGCATCCTTGTGATTTAGATGTATTTCCTGGAGACAACAGACACTTGGGCTGTGTTTTTTCATTCATTCAGCCAGCCTATGTCTTTTGAGAGGAGCATTCTGTCTGTTAAAGTTAATTGATAGCACTGATATGTGGGATGTTGGTCTGTTCATCCTGTTGAGTAGGCCCTTATCACTTTGTTTTACTACTTTTTCTATTGTTAAGAGTTGGGAGTTGTTGGGGGTTTTTTAACGTAAATTTGCATTGGTGGGTATCTGTTGTGCTGATTTGTGTATAGTAATGTTCTGAGTATTTTGTGTAGAGCAGGTCTGGTCATCGTGAATTCCTTCGGTGTTTATTTTTCTGGAAAATATTTAATTTCTTCATCTATTGTGAAACTTAGTTTTGAAGGATACAAAATTCTAGGCTGTCAATTGTTCTGTTTAGGCTGATTGAAGATGCAGCCCCAATCCATTCTGGCTTGTAAAGTTTCCACTGAGAAGTCTGCAGTTAGCCTGATGGGTTTTACTTTGTAGGTTATTTGATGCTTTTGTCTTGCAGCTTGCAGAATTTTATCCCTCATTTTGACTTTAGCCAGGTTGATTACTTTGTGTCTTGGATATGACCTATTTGCTGTGAATCTTCCCAGTGTTCGATGTCCATCTTGTATCTTTATGTATGACTTTCTGCTGATACCAGGGAAGTTTTCCTCAATAATTTCCCCAAATAGGTTTTCCATGCTTTCAGCTCTTTCTTCTTCTCCCTCAGGGATACCTGTAATTAGAATGTTAGTTCACTTCACATTCACCTCATCTTTCTGTAAGGGATTGCTTGGCCTTTTTTTTTTTTTTTTTTTTCAAAAC